TGCTAAGTGTGGGACTAATCGGTGGCTGATTACTGGTGGCCTGGCATCCTCTCCTGCATGTATTGGCACCTACAGTACAGGCAGAACACAAGACCGGAGGAAACACACGTACAAAGGGTCTTTAAATCCTTTTGGAAAACTTTCAAAATAATAAAAAGTAAAGAACATTAACATTTATGAACTCTTTAATTAGGTTGTCATATATTTTATTAGGACATTCACAGGTCTGATTGATCCATCATTAGGGTGTGTGTGTGTGGGGGGGGTCCAGTTGTCTAAGGAGCTGTGCAGAGTTGCACCCTTGGGCACACCAGCAACCTATGATTGTGAGTTTGAATTCCAGTTCGCCTCGATTATGTTTCTTGGTTTGTCAGCACCATGTGTTTATATGTGTTTTATAAATAGTTTAGGTTTTTGGTTAGAATAGGTCCAATGATTTTCCAATGAGGTCAAAAGTTGGGTTTACAAGCTTGTGTAAGGATAATAGCTGACTTGTGTGTCATTGTATCCAGAAGGTGGTGTTCATGCTCTGTCACTGGTGTGCCTGGACCAGACTTGATAATACAGGCCACTGTGATTTTGGCCACTTGTCTCAAGTCCAGGTCTACATGGTCTAGTAAAATTTCTTCTGCCCAAGTAAGATCAGCTTATTCTAGTCCATATACTGAGACTAAAATCTACTGAGCATAATGAAAAAAATGCAAGTTAGGGTTTGTAGACTCAAACATATTTGGAACAGACTCCTATGATGAAGCTTGAAATTTGTGACTACAGTGGATTACATTGTTCACTCATTCACTTGACAGCATGACCATCTTTGAAAATTAACTCTCCACCATGATCTATGCTGATATTGTCATACACTTTGAAGCCTGTCTAGCATAGCAGCATTAAACTCCATTTCATGTACTATCAAATTGGTACAGTGGTCAAAGTGTTTGCTTGTTACACCTGGGATTGAATCTCTAGGTAGGTGCAGTTTCTGATGTCAAATGCGAATACCTTCACGCATGACTGCAGCATTGATGGAAGCAGCAGGAATCGGCCTCATTTACAGAACATATGATATATTCTCTTAATCATGGTAAAGAGATGCCTGTGTCTGGTGTCCTCATCACAAACCAAGGCATTGGCAGTTACATCAAAATACACATACTCTAGATGACCAGAATGGCTGAAATATGCCCCTGGGTATTTGCAAGCTGGCTGGCCAAAGCTAGTGATGACAGCACCAGATGTTATAGGGGACAAGATAGATGTCAGATACATTACAGGAACATTTCGAATGCAACACAGTAATTGTATCACACAACATGTTTACTTTGAAATTCTGACTCCTTGATAATGTCTGTGAATATCATGTCCCTCTGTGAGGGAGGTGTAAACAGGCCTGGTTCTTACCCTTGCTGATCTTCCCGACTCGCATCTCATAAACTTCACAGGAGGAATCTGGGTGGGTTATGCTGTGCTCTTTGAAATTATGGCATACAGAATTGCAAATATCAGTGGTACTGTCAATGCCAAGTTTGATGTTTTTCATGTTTTGCATTCTGTTGTCTATATTGAAATATCAAGGCTTGTTATTGAAAAACATGATGTGTTTAGAGAAGATCACTTGATAGACGTTTATTTCCAACTTACACAGATTAGAGGAATTATTTTGGATCTGGTTCCAGAGGCATTATCAGTTGGGGTTTGTTGTTTCTCTTCGAATGTGGACAAGTTGCAAATAGAATCAAATATATGTAGGTATTTTGTTTGTTTTCGTGTGTGTTTTTTTTAAGTATGAGTCACTCGGGGATCCTGGGTTAGAATAGGGCCACAGCAACCTATGCTGGTCATAAGACGTGACTTTGTGGATCGAGTGGTCAGCCTTGTGCCATTAATAATGTGTCATTGTTCACACATAACAGAACACGCACGCACACATGCACGCACACATGCACGCACACACACTTACTTCATTATAGTGTAATACACATTATATGCTATGGTTAACAATTACAGATCAGGCTTTTATTTGCGTGAGTGGCATAGATAAGCTATGCACAGACTGACTCTCATTCACGTATCAGGTCATTAATTAGAAGACAGAATCTGATGCGATGATGTGAGGGGATAGGTTTATACAGTGTAACCTACAGTATCACATCCGCTGCAGGTGACATACGTGAACCTGCAGGTGTTCTGCATCAGGAAGCATATGTAACACTATATTGTTGCCTTGCGTGAGGCAGAAGTCGTACCTCCATGTCATGGAACAAGCGTATCCTCAGTTCTGAAGCAAGGCTAGCCCAGTGGCATAAGTCACACAGGGATATAATTAACCAAGAAAGTTGACTAGCCTGAATAGTGATAACATATGGCAATACCCCCAAAATTCTAGCCCTTAGGATACTATTTACATTAGCAACACTGGTCTGGACTAGTGGGCTAGTGCTAATTTCCATCCTTGTCACAACAAGTTGTTGTTCTGAATTCATCCCTAAGCCGACCCGTGAAGATCCGGGTTAGAATTTGTCTTCAGCAACCCATTGCTTGCCGTAAAAGGCTACTATGCTTGTAGTGAAAGGGGCTAATGGGATCGGGTGGTCAGGCTCATCGTATCCAAATTGCGTGGATTGATGCTCATGATGTCAATCACTGGATTGTCTGGTCCAGACTCAGTTATTTACAGACCGCCATCATATAGCTGGAATATTGCTGAGTGCGGCGTTAAACAACAAACAAACAAACATTTCTGAGCCAGCCGGGACTCTTCATCATGGGTTCAAATCCCGGAATTGTCCTGGTCATGATCCTTTGTGACCACCCCCCTACCTTTCCTGGGCTGGTGGGTTTCACCAAAGTGGAAAGAATCGAAACGTTAAACAACTTTGAAACATTCTTCCAACGTTGAGTTAACATGCCATGTTGAGACTGAAATACATTAAAACCAAATAACAAACTCATCCACCAACTATCAATTTCTTCAAATCTTTACACTGAAACTTGTGATGCGGAAGAGAACTTTAGTGATTTGAACAACATAAGGCTTCTGTGAGTGTATGTTGACATTCATATATGTTCATATAGATTTGGTGGAAGGGCTGACAGATGCCAACATGGCAGGCATCAGTGCTTTAGTACATTTTACTATCACTCCTGTCCTGGTTCTCATTTATTCCCTAATTATGATCACCTGGAGTTTCAGATGAATCGAGATAAGTCACCTATAAGCCCCCCCACCCAGCACCTTGCCCATGAAGCTTCTGTCCCCTCTCCATATACAAAAGCTAGTACTTTAGATATTGCAAGTCGTCACCTGGGTCTCATTGACTCCACCTCCTCCTGTCAGCTCAGTAGTGGGGCTACACTGAATGAATTACCTGCATAACTAATGCCCTAGCCTTGCTCCAAGGCTGTACTCAGTGACAAGTCCATGGATCTATAGTAATTTTATCTTCATAATGGACAAGTCTAGTTAAGCGGACAGTACACTTAGGGACGCCAGTCTTTTATGGGGACAGCTTGTTCGTATTGTTTATATTATCTTGAAATTATGATTCCAATTAATGATTATTGCCTTATAGACTTGTGCAAGTCTACTAATACCCCAGTATCTGTTTCTGTTCAGTGAAGGTGTCTGGGTACAAGTTTCTGTTTTTCTTTCATGAAATCCCCTTGTTTTGTGATTGCCCTTGTAATGAAACTGTCATGGTTTTTGTTCTGAAAGAATATGTCATGGCTGCTTCATAAAGACAGAGAAAATGCTGTGGAATTTGTTGGTGGTTTTAATAAATGTGTGAACGTAAACTGTTCTAGTGTTTGTAGCAGGCATGTGGGATTGTGCCACTTACTGCAGTGTCTAATGATGGTTTGTTTGTAGCTGTGGTCAAGATAAACAATTATGAAAAACACTTCCCCTATTAGACACAGGGCCTCCAATGCTCACTGGTCTCTAATTAACACCAGGGCCCACTTGCACAAAGTGATCTTAGCACTACGACTATTGTAAGCCTATGTTAAAGTATGGGAGTTACGATCATGTTAGCACTAAGATCGCTTTGTGCAAGTGGGCCCTGGTCATACACTCTGTCCCAAGAATAAAAGACAGGTCTCTAATACTGTGATATGTTGGTGATTAGTAATGGACGTTCCCTGCAAATGTTCCCTTTGTATGACTGTAGAATTTGGGGTTCAGTATGGTAGTTCATTGCTATGTGCCAGCATTTAAACAAAATAAACCCTGGCCTCTAATAGATGTTTTGTCAACGGCTTGAGTGAAATTAAGACACCAGGCCTTCTAATAGAGGAAATATGGTATCTGCTGTGTCCTGTTCTATTATACGAACAACAGGATCTTACAGTATCATTATGATCAAGAAATCCTGTCAACAGCAAAATAAAAAAAAAATCTAATGTGTCAGGATCCGTGTGTGTGTGTGATGAGTCAGTTTTCCTTCTTGAAAACAATATTTATCTTCTTATTTCCTCATTTGAAATATTCTCATTTGGGGCTATTTTTCATGGAAACTCTTCATGAACATATTGACTCCTTGTCTGATAAGTATGTCAGGTCATGCATTACTCTTGGTCAACTTTGAAGAACAGGTTGTCAGGGTTAGGCATTATTAGCCATATCTACCTAGTCGCTAGCTAACTTCGGATTAGTGGTTTATGCAAAATATGTACATTTCAGGAGAAAAAACAAACAGTCCCAAGAGATTTTCACTGGTCTCCGACAATCGGACTAGTGACCGTGTTTTACCTTGTTGTCATTAGTGAGCCGTACATTGCTTTCATTGTTTATATGAAGCTTCAAGAAGAAAGGAGTGTGGTTGCCTGTCCAGGTTGATTCCCAACGGGAATACAGTAAAGCATGTGAGGCATCCTTGCCAAAATGTATCAGCAACATGATTCATGACATGTTGATTCAATCCTGAAAGCTGGATGTTGGTTGCCTCATATATCAGGATGTTAAAAAATTTAGATTTTTATTATGTTTTATTTGTTTTCAGATTCCAGTAGCGGGACAAGTTGGTCCCCCCTGTACGGGGGCGGGTCCAAACTTGACAAGGACGCTATCCAGATAATCCATTGCATCTATTGCAAAGATTGCCGAATGGAGAAGTTGGCTGCTGAAAGAGCAAAACAAGCTGGGGCGGGGACATCTACGGACCAAGACCCACCCACACTATCACCTTCTAGCCCTCACAATTTGCTGGACGAGATCTCCCTTCAGCAGACCATGGATAAAAACAAAGAATGTGAGTTATGTACAGTATGTGGATATGACTGTTTTGATTTTGATTTTGTCCAGAGGATGGTGTAAAATATACTACTCAATAGAAGTTAAGGACCACCCAATTCTTTCATAATACTATCCTTCGTCAGTCATGTCAGAAAAAATATAAGAATAATTTTTATTGTACAGGACACCCTTGTAGGGCAGGGTACAAACTATCTACATATGGACATAAATGTAACTATGAGATGTAGATATACGTAATGTACATTATATAAAGAGGTATTACGTATTATTTTCATTTACAGTATATAAACATTTATGTATATCATGAGGTGGCTGTCAGCGTACACTTAGTGTTGATACTGTATTGATAGAATAGATTAGAATAGAATTTCTTTCTTTTTTTATCGTACAAAATGCCCACTTGGGACCTAGTACAAAAATAGAGCATTTATATGGTACAGAGATGAGAACATGGCATATATACACAACATAAATGCATGAATTTATCTTATCTAATTTGAGCCCTTACCTTGGTCTCAGTTTAAACATACAAAATACAGTCCTGGCAACAAGACTTGAACATTATTTTGAAGGGTTCATCAATTGTTTTAGGAGGTTGGTTTTATCAGTCTGGGTCATGACAGATTAATTTTAGAATTATGATAGAATAGGGTGTTCCTTAAGTTATCTTGAGTAGTATGTGTTGGTTCCAGTTTCCTCGTTGGTAAAATTTGGCGTCTTTGACACTTGTCTTAAATAGTAATATGTCCATAGTAAGGCTGCTAACCTACTCAGTCTTACTCTGGGTACAAAACTTGTGTCTCTGCCACACTTCATGATTGGTAATGGTAGCTTCTGCTCATTAAGACCATCCCGCCATGCCAGGGACTGCGGAGGCCCAGTGGGAAGTGTGTTTGTTAGTCTCTCACAAAGCCTGGGTTTGATTGGAAACATGGGAGCAATATGTGAAGCCTATTACTGGTGTTCCCCGCTGTGGAGTAGCTGTAACACATTTTGTGAACTGTTTTCTCTCTCTCTCGATCCCCGGCCGCGTCATACCAAAAGACGATCATGGTACTTGTTGTTACCCTGTCTGGCGCTCGGCATTAAGGGGCTAAAACAAGGACTGGTCGGCTCGGAGTCAGTATACTGTGTCTGAGTGGGATATTCATGTTAAACTGTGGCATGGTATCTCAGTGAGCTAGCACTATAAATCAGCATCAGTCCAGACTAGTACAAGCAGCCACACAAACACACACACGTACATGCACGTCGCTATATAAGTGCAATAATCTTGGACGCAACGTTAAACCCCATTTCACCTCACCTCATATGCTTCACTGGAAATAGGTGTTTTGAGCTTTGATTTCAAGATTCAAATGTTTTGGAAAAACCCACTGGAATATGAAGATATTTTGACAAACGAGGGCCTGCTGAAAGTTTAGTATGTGATTTGTTTGAATATGGCCTTCTTTTTTTTCTTGTAAACATTAAGTTTGCTTGACATCTTTCTAAGGAACAGTGATATCTTTTTTCAAATTGGGTCTATCATCTGTTACAAGTGCAGTTATAAAACCTCAATGAAGACAAAATAGCTGAGCCAGCAATAATCTATATATATACAACCACAAGCTAATGGGTACATTGTTTTGTACCGAATGTCTGCCATTCTCTTCTTGTTTCCTGGGCCATTGAACTGTCAGAAGCTCCTACCGGTACCGAGCCTGACAACATGACTTACGTCAGTATGTGTCCTGATCTACAGACTTTGGACATAGGTATTCGTGAGTTGGAGTTCTCTCCATCCAGGTTGTTGCAGTGTAGCAAAAATAGCATTTACAGGTTTCTTTGAGAACACAAATTCAATAATGTTGTAATTAGTTGGTCAAGTACTAAAACATGTCCAAGATCTCTGAGGAACTTTATGATCTCTAACCCTGTAGTGATTCCAGGACTGAATAATTCTTAATTGAGTAATGCTTGACTCAAGAGCCAACGAAACTGGTGGTTGCAATAATGACATGGCTCAGAGTATGTCACTGTGTTCTGACAGTGTCGACCATTGCTTGGGCCATCAGCTACTGGTCTGTCTGTTCAAGACTTGATTATTTACAGGCAGTAACTGTTGTATTTGCAGAGGCATTTAAACATTCATTCACTCCCTCCCTCCCTCGTTCTAATCTCTCAGAAAAGCATTCTAGATATCAGGTTGTAATAAAAACTCTGTCAGGAGCAGGAAAAAATAATTTGATTTATTTAAACCTGAGACATCCTTCACCATAACACTGATAACGCATAGGGGCTCTCTGGGACATGATTCCAATGCTAATCTTATCTTAATTGCCTAACTTTTTTGCATTTCTCAAAGTATTCTGTTCGTCAAATAGCTCCATTTTGTCTAACAAGCTTTATGAAGGGTGAAGAAACCTGGCTTGATGTGGTAGGGTAGTAGGTTCCCCCTGAGTTGGTCGCTATCAGGTGATGAAATGTTAGCTGACCCTGGACAGGGGTGCTACACTCTATTCTATCTCCTTCCACCAGTTATCAGTGGCCGTTTCTCCTTCTGTCCACTGCCCCCGCTCAGTATCCATTGTCGGTCTTGAAGCATCCACACAGAAAGTGCCAACACAGCACAGAGTCTTGTTATGTTGCAGTTAATTTGTACGTCTGTTCATCGGCAGCAAGGGAATCCTTTGGGATTCTCAGCCAACCAAGATCTGTGACTCTGGCTCTGTGCCAACGGTAGACTGAGGAATGCAGAACGGATGCATGAACAAGGAGTCGGAGGAGGGCTCAGTGCCAGGTTTTTTTCACTGAACACTTAACCAGATGGTGCTGCAAGTGTTTCACTGATCTGGTACCTGTGTAGATGGCCCAAGGTGAGATAGGTAACACTGCCAGCTGATGATGAAATCACCGGCTTGTTCCCGATGACTGGTCAGTTCGCTTTTCGGACCAAACTGTCAACACACAAACACTCTGTTTGTCTGCTTACACCTGTTAGACTTGGTACATGTGATTCTTATAGACTGGAACCATTGCCAAGTCTGTGACCTTGTGTAAGAACATACTAATAGATTGCCCTAGATATCCCGGCCTTGGAATACCACTTCCTGGCGCCCTCATCTACAAGAACTCTTGCAAGATACAATGAAGTATGGAATGGGAAGAAGTTCCAATCAATGCCCCTTTAGTCCACATAAATAGTATATTACCTGTGATAATTGTGAAAGCAGCATGAATGGGGTCTAATTAAACAAGCCTTGAGAATCAATTTGCTACCGATGAAATCTGTTAATGTGAAATTCATGCTGCTTTAGAGATACATATGTATTTTATGTATTGGTATCTGAAAACAGGAAGGTTCACTTTTTAATGACAAGACTGCTTTTACATTAGATAATCCAAGTTTTCACAGCCACCATTCACTGCACTCAAGACTTCTGGAACGATAATAAGCAGTTGAAAGCTTTCATGTTGGATTCAGTCTAGGGTAATATATCTTAATTGAAGAGATGTTGGTTAGCATCATGCCTGATTAAACCAATTACAGCTGTTCGGAAACTCCCCACTTCAAGCATAGCCAAGGCTCCCTGAGTGGACATCAGTCTGCTCCAAATACCAGAGGGCATTCTTGGTTCAGGTCACTTCAAGCAAATGCTCATCTTTGTACATCTGTTCTGTCCCCAGAATAATTCCCCCAAAAGCTTTTAAAATGGTTATGATGCCAAGAACCTCCCTTCCTGTTCTGGACAGACGGGTCTGTCATCCCAAGATATGGTTCTGTCATGATGTGCATTAGCTCTGCATTGCCTTGATTGGGATATGTCATGCCGTGGCCTGGCATATACAAGATCTATCTTTGCCATGACATGGTCCTGTTAAGCCATGAATGTCATGTGGTGGTGAAATCTGTCACTGCCATGACATGGTCCTGTTGAGGCATGAATGTCATGTGGTGGTGAAATCTGTCACTGCCATGACATGGTCCTGTTAAGCCATGAATGTCATGTGGTGGTGAAATCTGTCACTGTCATGACATGGTCCAGTTGAGGCATGAATGTCATCTGAAAATCTGTGACTGTTATGACGACTAGTCCAATGTTTTAGCATGGCAGGGACCGCCTCTGTGGTCTAATGGTGGAGCGTCCACCTGGTGAGTGGAAGGTCTGGGGTTTGATCCCCAGCCGCGTCATACCAAAAGACGTTAAAAGATGGTACTTGTTGTTACCCTGTTTGGCACTAGGCATTAAGGGGCTAAAACAAGGATTGGTCACCTCGGAGTCAGTACACTGTGTCTGAGTGGGGTATTCATGTTAAACTGCAGTATGGTATCTCAGTGTGCTAGCACTATAAATCGGCATCAGTCCGGACTAGTACAAGCAGCCACATACACGTGCATGCACGCCGTTATATAAGTGCAATAATCTTGGACGCGACGTTAAACCCAATTTCACCTCACTTTAGCATGGCAGTAATGACAGCACGTTTTGCCTCACATAATTTTTGATGAAGCGTTGATGTCATAGAACTTGTCAAGACAGAAATGTCTCTAAGAGTGAAAACTAATTTTGCACCATAATGTACATGTAATTATAGAGGAGAAATCATTGTGTAATTATAACAAGAAGTATGAGGGTACTTAAAACTGATTATGGCATGGTTGTTTACCACTGATTAATGTGTTGAGATGTGTTGATAAGTGTACTGTGTGTTGAGACGTGTAGTGCTGAGACGTATAAGCTGTGTACAGACATGTGTGGTGTGTACAGACAGTGTGTTGATATATGTCCAGGAGGACAGGCCGAGGCTATGTGCGGAATGTTTCCCTCCATGCTGCTGTGACTGTGACTGACTCAGTTGTTGACTGCTTGTAGGTAGTAGTGAAGGTCAACTCCCAAGTTGCAACAACAGCTGAGGAAACGACTTGGAGGTGGTGCAGCCTCCATTAAAAGATATGCCAGATATAAGTGAATTAAGCCTGTGAATCAGTACTGCTAATCAGCTGAGTTGAGTGATTGGGGCAGATGGTTCAACATGGCCAAAGTATCTGGACCATCTTCCCCATGCCACAGTGTTATGCTAGATATGTACCACGCATCTCTGTGTTAACCAACTCTGATGGCCGACATAGCAGCCTGTCCACCAGATTACAATTAGAGGAAGGCGCATCTATCATGACCAAGAAAACACAAACAATTACTTATGTGCTTTCCCCTTGACCTTTGTTATTATGATAAATTTGGGTTGAATATTTATCCTGAAACATCTTTTTAGAAATTAGAACCACTTCTCCCAGTGCGTATTCTATGCAGACAATGCTTTTAATACTGCGTTTCATATGTGACTGCCTGTAGTCCAGTGGGTAGTGTCTGCCCTGAGAGCGGAAGTTCGAGGGTTTGATCACTGGCCCCATGGATCCAAAAGATGTTACAAGATGGTACTTGTTGATACCCTGTCTGGCACTCAGCATTAAGAGAATAAAACAAGGACTGGTCGGCTCGGAGAGCAAGTTTACTCTGGCAGGTCACTTCCTACTACCTCCGGTCATCTTTTGGGATACATTCAGGGTTACATACGTATTGATACACATTGAAATGGTTGTGTCACAGTATGATATGTATCATGGTACTTAACTTGTCCTGTTTTTGTGTGAAATTCTCTAGCTTATCCCATGGATACATTGTTGAATGTTGACCTGTCTTGTTCTGTTTCATGGTGTATCTGGAGTGTTCATAAATGCCCGTTACACAGTTCAATATGAGATCTGTGCCATCTGGGATGAAACTAGGCTTTACACCTGTGGCCATGTCTGTCGCTTTCGACAGCCGTTGTTACGCATGATGCAGCCATCAGAATACTGCCATGAATATAAGGATCTGATTAGTTGCTGCGTGAAATTAGACAATTATTGCTTGGTGTAATGTGAATAGTTCCATGATTGACACATGTTTTTGTTCTGTTTCAGCATTGAAGAGAAAGCTTATGTTAAGGAGGTCGGTCAATGAACTGGTCGACAGGGGAATATATCCACGTAAGTTGATGTTGCATGTATTTTTGATGATAACCAAAGTATATAGATATGCCTGACCTGGCCCTTGAGCTTTGCTGGTATTTGAATCTAGGGGGCCCCTAAATCTACAGCTTTTAGCATTAGGTTTATGACAAGGCCACTTCACTGGCCTGCTTAGTTTCAAGTGTTGGGAATAGTTCTCCAGTACCTCTTGCTTGTCATAAGAGCCTCCCTCAAATGAACATGGGGTGATTTTAGTGTGCAACCAAACTAATGAAGTGTCACTCTGCCCTTGATTGAGGTTATGTGTAGCCTTGCTGATAGTGTGCCACTGTGACTTGATGGCTTGGATCGTTGCTTAGCCATTCTGTACTGACCACTGTGATATTGCTGGAAAAGTGCATAAAAATACAATATCTTGCTCACAGTGAACCTTAAATCAGTCTGTGCCAAAAAATATGTCTTGCTCGAACCTGTCACTTGAATTCATTTTCAGTAGATTTTTGGAATTTGCAGAGCTTGCTAGACCAAAATAAGTTTTATATGACTTGGGCTACAGACTGGTGGCTAAAGTCACATTCAGCTAATTATTATTCTCTGCAACTGTCCACTGCTATATGGTAACAGAGGTAGTGTGTTCTGCCCACTGCCATTAAGTCACAGGAATGACAGAATTGTATTCATGGCCACTTGGAGGAATGTAGACGCATCACTCCATTTTCTCCAGGACAGCTGAGGAGGACCAGGAATTCACTCAAGCTTTGAACTGGAAGCGCTCGAGATGAAACGAAAACAGACATTAATTATCTAGGGACAGAAAAACACTGATTACAACCCTGAATGAGAGGCATGCGAGAGATAAGGAGACTTATTATTGTGCCCATTCTCAGCGGTGATGGTAGACAGTATCTGTATGTCAACACCTGTATAATCAGCCATATTGCAGGTCACCTGCACTTCAATAAACCCTCTTCTAATGCAAGGAGAAGCAGCCAAGATAACAATTATCTTTTAGCCGATATTGAGATCTCAATTATAATGTGTGTCTTCCACACACTTTTTCTGAGATAAGGTTCCACATCCCCTCACGATCAAGGCAGAATTGATTCCAAACTTAAACAGTGTTAGATAGTTAGAAGAATAAACAGTTATATCAAAACAGACATGATTTTTGCTGAAACTTATTTATTATATAATTTATTTTTAAAGTTGCTGGGCTTATCTGATATATTTGGAGGTGTTGTGTATTTATTGTTGCAGGTGGGGCACATACTTCCGTTTAGTTTTTTCTTTTGATAAGAAAGCTGTTTTGTGGTGTAAATACATTATGATGGAGTGGGAAGAGAGATGATTAAGTACCACCATACAACAGCAGTTAGTCTCTCTCCTAGACTCTTGTGAATGTATTAAAATAATCCCAAATTCATTTACATGTTATACGAAGGCTACAATGAGAGTGTCGCATATTGATATTACCTGTTATACGAAGGCTACGATGAGTGTCCCACATTAATTACCTGTTGTATGGAGGCTACGATGAGAGTGTCGCATATTAATTACCTGTTGTACGGAGGCTACGATGAGAGTGTCCCATATTAATTACATGTTGTACGGAGGCTACGATGAGAGTGTCGCATATTCATTACATGTTGTACGAAGGCTACGATGATTGTGTTGCATATTAATTACATGTTGTATGAAGGCTACGATGAGAGTGTCCCATATGAATTACATGTATGGAGACTACGATGACTGACACATTTGACACTGTTGATGACCTGGTGACTTACGCTGCACTTTGTGTTACAGCTCTGAAAACCCCTCCAGCATACGCTGAACAGAGGAAGCAGTTGGAAAGGGCAAAGGTAAGCATAAACATAAATCAGGAAGTGTCCAGCATGCACACACGCAAGCAGCTGTGGATGTGGGAGGCTACTCGCTGTCACCTACTTTCTCATGCACTAGAACACGCAGGGAAATCAGAGCTGCATTAAATACATTTATTGGTACTGCCAACTCAGCTTTCTGTGGTGTAGCTTGAACCTGTCACCTTTACATAGGAGGGAATGGTGCAGATAGAAGCCCGTTAACTTTTCAAGGGGCTTGTATATTTGTATTGATACAACCAGCAGGAAATTAGCATGGAACACGTCAAGGTGATAAGTATCTCGTATCGTTCCAGAAACTAGACAGAAAAAAATATTTATGGAAATAGAAACTCACTTACTTCAAATTTATTCCTTTAATCCCTGTTTCCTGACTACAGGAAAACATTACCATGGAAACAGACAGTTGCACAGGTGCTGTGATGAAATGCAGCTGCATTAACCCTTTATCCCTGCAACCAGCTGACAGAATACATATCTGACTGTTATCCTAGCACTGTCAGCACATGTAGTGTCAAGTCAGTGCACATAGACACCAACAGGAACAGGTTGGGGTTGCAGTGTGGTCTTTAAACAAGGCTTTTAAGTGCTCAGTTGGAGACTGCAACATGCATGCTGTAAGATAAACAAACATGGGAAGCATGCAGGCCATGCCGGCAGATAGTAATGTGACCGAGAGAGACATGGCTACCTCTACCTCATCCCAAGTTTCATCTTCAGGGAACACAGAGTCAGTGCTGTAAGATAAATAAGCAGGTCTGCATTCTTTTAAACACACTTGTGGCATCAAATTTGCGGCTGGTCTGATGAGGGTGGTTTGGATGGCACTGTACTGCTACTTGTATCACAGACTGTGTTTGAAGGTGGTAGTCTAAGCTTGGCCGACTCACAGCTGTATAATGTCAACACTGGTTGTTTTAGCCAGGGATGCTTGTTTACTGCACTCAATGGAAAGATGGGCCGTAAATGTTGAATAATGTTCACTGGTGTTTGTTTATTGAGCTTGTCCACATTGCTTTGTGATGAGAGATAACTTTAATATCCTTGCTAGATCTGGTGGAATATGACTGATGTGATATCACAACAAATATGGCTACCTGTGAAAACATTGCTTATACACAAGCAGCTACACAATACATGGGCTAGGCCAGCATGGCAGGATATGGTTCATCTTCTTGTAGTTTTCTGGTGTGCTATCATGGTACACACCTCCTGGTGTACTGTTTGTTGAGTCAGACTGGTCCACATGGCAGTTTACTAATGCTTCTGACAAGGAATAATCTCATTGCTGATCATGTCAGTTAGTCATGTTTCCAGGCAGAAAGAAAATTGGAATCTGAAATATTCCCATAAAAAAAGGAATGGACATAAAATATTGCAGAATGATAATGTGTTCGAGAAGTCAACTATGTTCAGTGAAACTGCTTCAAGCATGACTATAAAAAATAATGGAGAAATCGCTCGAATCGGTTATTCCAGAATTAGAATTCGGAGGGATAAGATAATTCTACTTCCTGAATCAACAGATTCGTGTGATTTCTCCCACTTTAAAAATGTCATGGTTGATGTATGTTGAACTTGTACTTGAACAAGATGAATGATCAGAAAGGCTACTGAATTCGTGCCGCAGGCTCAACTGCAACAATAGCGTGACATTATCGTAATGGTTCAGGGGTGTGAGAATTTGTCTCACTTGTCTCCCTTGTTTCGTCATTGGCCTTGAGGTTCAATTTGACTATTTGCCTTGGAAGTTTGGTGTTAGTTTCACCTTCAGCGTTATCACCACCCATGCTTGTGACAAGTGTTGACCACGGAAGATTGGGTGATTACAGTGTGTGACCTGGTCATTGTGTGGCTGAAGGTGTGATCTTTGCTCATGCTGTCAACCAGTGAGTTACCTGGCCCAGATTCAGTTATATACAGACATCCAATGTGGTGCTGGTATATTGCTAAATGTGACATTCACTCCCCTTCATGGAGTGAGTGAGTTTGATTTTACGCTGCTTGAAGCAATATTCCAGCAATATCATGGCAGGGGACACCAGAATTTGGCTTCACACATTGTACCCATGTCAGGAATCGAACCCGGGTCTTCGGCATGACGAGCAAACATTTTAACCTCTAGGCTACCCGACCGCCTCTACCTTCATGGAAGCTAGTATAGTTTAAGAGGTATACACTTTTTTTATATAATTGCATAATAGAAATAATTTGTTGATCATCCAGCATTGGAGTAAGATAGATGGCCCCACCAGGGGGCGCAGTGATGGAGTTTACATACCACGGCAGTGCCCCCATGAAGGTGCACACTGCTAATTAGGTGGCATGACTTCACAGTGTATACCAACCTTTGATAAATGGTAGCGGAGTCTTTGAAGTTGCCTCACCCACCTTCCGTTTGCTCCTTCTTCCGATACCATTTTCCAGAAGTGAAGAAAAGCAGGAACTGTTTGTTTGGAGGTCTGGTGCCAGTTGCCAGATTTTGGTGATTGCTCGTACAGTTAGCTCCCTAAACAGGCAGTCAACCAATCTAGGGATCTTAACATTTAACAGCAATCTGTCCAGGTCTTGTTTATTTGTAGTTGATAGGCTCTCTTGCTGAAATTACCATTCAGTAAGGCATTGTAATTAAAGTGTATTTTGTCTTCAGAAAACATGTTTATTGACTGTAAATGAGATAATAATTACACTGTGTCAAGACTGATCACCGCCTTCACTAACTTTTAAAGGATTTTATCAAAATCAAAGGTTACAAGGAATCTGTTTAGAAAAAATGTGAGAGACATGTTATCATTACAATGTTGTTAGGTGTTTTGACAGGCGACCAACACACTCCCTCAGCAATTATGGTAATGCTTTTATAATTCAATTTCTTGTAAGCGATCAGTGAAATTATGCAGCGAGCAGTTCCTGCAGAGAAAGCCAGAACTTTGAGTCTATGATGCTCTCCAGAACACAGGGAACTACTGATGCCATTATGTGGCATGCAAGTGGAAGATAACAAATTGTTTTTGGCATGGGTTCAGCATGTGCCAGAACTGCAGACATTATTTTAAGTGAATATAGAGATTCCCAACCTTAATGCTACTTGACTTTGGGTAGGGTTGAAAGGTGATGTATTAAATACATTTCCTGGTTCTCCTCGAGATTGGCATTCTATACATACACACTTGTAGGTGAAAACATGGTCGATACTTTTAGGAGAGGAGAATAGTTGTCATAAATAATGGATGGGCAATTTTGCAGAGTGTACATATGTTTTTTAGTAGTGCAGACATGTTTTCCACATTTATTGACTTCTTTTTCCCCTGAAGCTCCATATTGCCAGGAAAATCTGAAAATTGTTTATTTAAAGCTGCTTTAGCATTCTACCATGGAAAATATTCAAATCTGATTAAGTTATGGTTAATTACAGGTAACAAATCTCTTTAACATACCTGAAACAATTTAACTGCAACAAGATTTTTTTCCTCATGCCAGTCCCAGCCTGCAGTTTAAAGGCGGTAGGCAGTTTAAAACACTGATTTGATCTTTGAAATTGAGGGGGCATTGGTGGTCCAATTGTCTAAGGCGCCGCGATTCGCTGTGCAGAGTTGCTCCCTTGGGCACACCAGAAACCTATGATAGTGGGTTCGATTCCCGGTTCGCCCCGACTATGTTTCTAGGTTTGTCAGCACCATACCCGTACTCGTGGGTTTCACCGAAGTGGTAAACGTCTGAAACCTGCATCACTTCAGGCTTTCCTCCCACATTAAGCTGACACGCCGTGATATAACTGGAATAATGTTAAAAGCGGCGTTAAACCCAACTCACTCACACTTTGAAATTGAAATTAGGCTCAGAAAAATGAATAAGTGATGTTTTATTTTATAATTGGATAGCATTTATGACACAAATGGTTTCAAATTAAATTTAAGGGTATAATATGAGGAGCACATGTAAAACGTTTTGTTCCCCTAAAGGAAAGTCAGCTCAGAATAGGTCTCCCACAAACTATAGTTGTATTATAAGGAACATGCACCTTAATCTCAATTCAACTTTTTCACAGCTCATTTCCGACTGGTGATTATGTAACAAAGAGGATTTTGTAAAGACAAGTAGTCCTTCCAGGTTTTCACCAGTTCATAACTTGGTACTAATGACTGACTATTTCATATTATGAAGGGGCTGGGACCTTTTAGATAATCCGCTCCTGAGAATGCTGGGAATGTATATTTCTCCTCAGGTGTTACAGCCACACAATATTGTTCACTGGATATGCTTTATGTTCAGAGGTGGAGGATACGCTTATATAGCACGCTGGTAGGATGGTAGTAATGCATGAAAGTGGGGCCGGGTTTGCCATGATTAAGTGACATTCATTGATAGGTAGTCTCCAGGGTCATTTCTAGGTCACTGACCTTTCAACCAGGCTAGAGGAAAAGATGCAAGCACTGATGCAATTTGTTGAAACACACTGTAGGATTGATATGTTTTGTTACTAATAATGGCTTTCATTTTTAAGTAATTGAAACCTGTTACCTTTTTTGAGATGATTTGTGACTGAACATAAGTGTTTTCCAACTCATTTCTCCTGAAGTGAGTTAGAATCTATTCTCATGCTACTTTAGACATGTCTTTCATAAGCCTTGCAGTGTGGTTAAATATTTAAGTGTTTCAAAACAGTCTGGGTGTTGCAATCAAGGTAATTCCAATTTGAAAAATATTGGTGATATTGCACATGTGAATCTGTGCAGTGCTCTTGTACACGTGAATCTGTGCAGTGCTCTTGTACACGTGAATCTGGGCAGTGCTCTTGTACACGTGAATCTGGGTAGTTCTCTTGTACACGTGAATCTGGGCAGTGCTCTTGTACACATGAATCTGGGCAGTGCTCTTGTACACATGAATCTGGACAGTGCTCTTGTACACATGAATCTGGGCAGTGCTCTTGTACACGTGCATCTGTGAAGTGCTCTTGTACACATGAATCTGGGCAGTGCTCTTGTACACATGAATCTGGGCAGTGCTCTTGTACACGTGCATCTGTGAAGTGCTCTTGTACACATGAATCTGGGCAGTGCTCTTGTACACATGAATCTGGGCAGTGCTCTTGTACACATGAATCTGGACAGTGCTCTTGTACACATGAATCTGGGCAGTGCTCTTGTACACGTGCATCTGTGAAGTGCTCTTGTACACATGAATCTGGGCAGTGCTCTTGTACACATGAATCTGGGCAGTGCTCTTGTACACGTGAATCTTGGCAGTGCTCTTGTACACATGAATCTGGGCAGTGCTCTTGTACACATGAATTTGTTAATGTGTAATTCTTTTATGTTTTGCTTGTTAATCTTTTACATAGGTAGAAAAGCACCATTACGTATTTTGATGCAATGTAAATATACATGTGGTAAACCTAATACCTGATTGAAGTAAGCTTGGTATGATACCATCACAGTAGTGTACTCATGTTCTGCAGCATTGCACATATGCTGGCAACATGGACCCCAGGGCTCAGTGATGCCAAGATTATGCTTAAACCCTAGCAATTTGTTTAGAAATTAGGTGCATGTTTATCCGAGAATAATTTTGAACGATCTGTATTTGGGTAGGCAGATGTTTTGCATTGCCAGAGCATGTGGTCATGAGCTGAACACTCTGATGACTTGACCTACCTCTTAAGGGAGCTAAGCAGTTCTTATGGAAGCACTTCAACACTTGGTTATCAAGACATAAACTGTCATATGAAGAGTCCCAATGAGATTGTGTAGAGGAGATTCCGAACATTGATGCCATCGTGTACTGTGTCGAGATGTAACATGGCACATGTGGCTGCCAGTAGCATTTCAAATATATTTTTCAAGTACTGGTTTCAAGATTTTGATATTTATCTTTTGAATAGAGCTGTACACTTGAAGAAGATTTTGAAATTGAAATGCTTTATGTAGATGCCATCTGAGACTGAAGTGTGTCTCTGCTTGACATGGCTAACATGGGTTTAGTGAAGCAGGTGTGATAAATCCCACTGAAGCCCAGTGAGTACCTTCTCCTCTGGAATGAGTGTTGCGGTACTTGTGTGATCAGATTGGACTTGCCCTGAGGGATGTCCTCCCCCACTGCCCTACAGCGGTGGTACATGTCTATGAAGTTACATCACCTAAACATGAAGCAGCTGATGCCATGATGTAGCTGTCATGGTTAATTTGTCATACAGACTAAATGTTCTGTGACTGACAGAAGTTGATTATAGATACTGATGTAATGGAGAATGTGAGGACCAACTGTCGGAGGTCCCCAGGCAGGCAGAGAGTCATGGTCATGGTCAGGCAGTGTAGCAAAGAGAAGCTGGTATCTCTGCCCCCCAGGTGTACCAGCTGTGCAGCACTGGGTGGGGTGGATATAGTATGGGAGAGGAATATGTATTTCTGCCCCCCTCCCCCACAGGTATACTGACTACATCTCTCCAGGTTGCAGCAGTGGGTTGGGTGGATGTAGAATCATGGTCTGGTAGTGGAGGGGAGATGAGTTTGGTAACTGCCCTGCAGGTGTACCAACTGTGCAGCAGTGGGTGGGGTGGATATGGTATGGGAGAGGAGCATGTATTTCTGCCCCCCTCCCCCCCAGGTATACTGACTACATCTCTACAGGTTGCAGCAGTGGGTGGGGTGGATATGGTATGGGAGAGGAGCATGTATTTCTGCCCCCCTCCCCCCCAGGTATACTGACTACATCTCTACAGGTTGCAGCAGTGGGTGGGGTGGATATGGTATGGGAGAGGAGCATGTATTTCTGCCCCCCTCCCCCCCAGGTATACTGACTACATCTCTACAGGTTGCAGCAGTGGGTGGCTGCCCTGCAGGTGTACCAACTGTGCATCTCCATACCTCTTGTTGCATTGGTTGTAGCCATGGGTGTTGCAGAGTCTGCCGTTGTAATGGAGACCATGCTAGCTTGGCACTTGTGGCAGTGGATAACACCCCTACCTGTCCATCTGGCAGTCTGTCTCTGGCACAGCCTTGGTGGGTGGGTTCATACATGGAGTACCATGTTGACTTTGCCATGTAAGCTAGACAGACATGACAGGATAGTTTGATGGGGGAAATAAAATTTGGTGTTGCGGGAGCCACCTCTGCTGGGGGTTAGACTTTGGAAGAAAACATTGGTGTGGAATTGTGGTGGCTTGTATCCAGCATCGCCCACCTACCTGTCTCTCCTGCATCACTACTTGGTGGCAATTGTGGGTGTGGCAGCTGCTGGTATTACTCCTTTGGTGGCAACTGTGGGTGTGGCAGCTGCAGGTGTCACTACTTTGGTGGCAACTGTGGGTGTGGAACCTGCAGGTGTCACTACATTGGTGGCAACTGTGGGTATGGCACCTGCAGGTGTCATTAGCTTGGTGGCAACTGTGGGTGTGGCTGCTGCAGGTGTCACCAGCTTGGTGGCAACTGTGGGTGTGGCACCTGCAGGTGTTACTACCTTGGTGACAACTGAGGGTGTGGCAGCTGCAGGTGTCACTAGCTTGGTGGCATCTGTGGGTGTGGCACCTGCAGGTGTTACTACCTTGGTGGCAACTGTGGGCGTGGCACCTGCAGGTGTCACTAGCTTGGTGGCAACTGTGGGCGTGGCACCTGCAGGTGTTACTACCTTGCTGGCAACTTAGGGTGTGGCACCTGCAGGTATCCCATCATCTGTCTTGCCTGCAGGTATCACTACCAGGGAGGGTGGGGTTGGGAGGGAGAGAGAATGGGTGGATTTTGGCAGCTGTCTCTCTCTTTCTGACACAAGCTTACCCCGTTACTTGGTCACTGGTCACAGGCGTTCAGCTGTTCGACTGCTGTACAGCAGATTCATGCTTATGTTAAACCAATCAGGCTCTGTGCTCCACAAGTAAACATGACACACTAAATACTTCAACAGTTTATAGCAGAAAGAAACCGAAAAAAAGTTTGTATTAGCTGCCATTTAGTTGATAGTTTTGAGATGCGGTGGGGTAGTTTTAGGGTGAGGATGGTGTCTTAGGGTGGTGTGGAATCGTGTGGGTATTGGGTGTGTTAGGGTGGCAATTGTGTCGTAAGGTTGGGATGGAGTGAAGGTGTGGTTGGGATGGTGTGTGATGTGGGTGGGGTTGGTAGGATGGGGTTGGGTGGGGTGAGGTGTTGGTTTAGGAAATGATTTGTGATGTGGGTGGGGGTGGTAGGATGGGGATGGGGATTGGGATGGGTTGGGATAGTGTGTGGAGTGTATGTGTTGGGGATTTGTGTGTGAATGGGGATGATGTCTGAGGTGGGTTGGGGGTGTTAGAATGGATAGGGACGTTTTGTGGCGTTGGCTTGGGAAAGATGTGTGGGGTAGAGGGGGTGGGGTGGGGTGTTGGCCTGGGGGGATAGGTGGTAAGATGGGTAGGTATGGGATGGTGTAGTGGGGAGGGGTTGGTGGTAGGATGGGGAGGTGTGGAATGGTGTGGTGGGGATGGTGTAGTGGGTGTTGCGGTGGAGATGGTGTAGTGGGGTGTTGGCTTGGGAGGATGTGTGAGGTGGGTTGTGGGGTGGTAGGATGCGGAGGTGTAGGATGGTGGGTTAGGTGGAAATCGGTAAAGCTGTTGGTACAAGGTCAGGATTTTTAGAAAACTAGTAAAATGCAGGGAGGTCTAGTGAAATTACCATACAACACCCACAATAACACGACAGTAAACTTGCACTTTGTTGTATTTTGGGGGAATTCCATCAAGGATGTTAAGCTCAACTGGTATGACTCCAGTATAGAATTTATAGTGATTGAATGTAAACACCATCAACCCAGTTTATCACTAATGAAATGTCAGCTTTATCTGTGTAATTAGTTCCAAACAGTTGGCTCCCAGGCTATCTCCCATGCCCCAGTGGGGGGCAGATCGCTGCATGTGTAACACTTGTCCCACAAGCATGTACAACATTCCATCAGATTGCTAATGCTGACACTTCAATTACTAGTCATTTACAAAGACATTTCTTCAATTTTACTCAAGTGCCTTTCTTAACCAGTTAAATATACATGAATTTGAAACCAAGCTAATTCTCAGTTGTCAACATTGTTGTCTTATATGCTAATTTATTTTAAATTGTTTAAGATACTGTACTAATTATTTCTATTAATTTCAGACTGGAGACTTATTAAAACACAAAATCCAGTCTCGCCCTGACCGACAGTCGCTTGTTCAACAACACATTCTAGAAGGTGGGTTCAATCTGTCTGATGTGTATATCATATATATGTTTTAGCCTTTATCAAGATCAAATATGTATCACAATTTCAAGACGGTCTTATTTTGAGTGGTGCCATTATTTTCAGAAGAAAAAACTTGAAAAATGTATGTTGTCATGTTGTGTGTATTTCAAATCAGGAAATCCAATGCCTCATGGACCGAAAATAAATTCAAAGATTTTGTCTTGGACCTTATTCAACAAAAGCAATCTTATCACTGCAACTGTTGTAATGATATGCATTGACTTGTGATATTCATAACACTGAGGCTGTCGTAACTTTGAGATAAGCTGTGGATGGTGGTCGTGCTACGTTGTTAGATCCGTTCCTGCACTTGTAATATTAGAGTAGTGCTGAGATTATGCCTGTAATTTAACAAATACTTACGATAGTCATATTGTTAAGATTGTGGTAATGCCCATATTTTTACATATACTTAAGATAGACTGTATATTAAAACTATTATTATTGCCATATGTTAACGTATACTTTAAATAGTCGTAATGTTAAGACCGTGATTAAAGTCATACTTTAACATATACCTACAAGAGTTGTAACATTAAGACTGTGGTTATAGTCGTATGTTAACTTATACTTAAGAGTCACAATGTTTTTACTGTGATTATAATAATACATTAACATATACTTACGATAGTCGTAATGTTAAGACCATGATTATAGTTATACATTAACATATACTTACGAGCATCGTAATGTTAAGAATGTGATTATAGTCATACCTTAACAAATACTTACGAGCATCGTAAGTATGGCTGTGATTATAGCCATACCTTAACATATACTTACGATAGTTTGAATGTTAAGACTGTGATTATAGTCATACCTTAACATATACTTACGAGCATCGTAAGTATGGCTGTGATTATAGCCATACCTTAACATATACTTACGATAGTTTGAATGTTAAGACTGTGATTATAGTCATACCTTAACATATACTTACGAGAGTTGTAACATTAAGACTGTGGTTATAGTCATATGTTAACATATACTTACGATCATCGTAATGTTAAGACTGTGATTATAGTCATACCTTAACATATACTTAGGAGCAACGTTACGATAGTTGGAATGTTAAGACTGATATAGGCATACCTTAGTCTGTACTTTTAATAGTCGAATGTTAAGACACACCTTAACAAATATACTTACGATAGTTGGAATGTGTAGACTGTGATTATAGATGAGGTGGGGGTTAAAATGGGGTTTGACATCTCGTTCAAGATTGTATCACTTACATAGCAACTTGCATGCATCATGTATGTTTAGCTGTTTGTACTAGTCCAGACTTATATGGTGGCAGCTCACTGAGACACCAAAGTGACCATGCTGTAGTTTAACATGAATTGCCCATTCAGACATAGTATAGTGTCTCCAAGCCAACCAGTCCTTGTTTTATCCCCTTAATGCCGAGCGCTAAGCAGTGTAACAACATGTACCATCTTTTGGTATGATGTGAGCGGGGGATTGAATCACTGACCCTTCTCTCTCCCCGGGCAGACACTCTACCCACTACACCAGGGAGACGGTCCTGTGATTATGCCCATACTTTCACATATACTTACAATCATTGTAATGCAAAGACTGCTTTGTAAAAAAGGGGTTTGGTGTTTTGTTCTGACAGAATCATACAAATCCTTGTTGTCATGAACTGTACATTCCATGCTTCATCACAGTGGATAGATGAGGAGACTGGCTAAAGACATATCTTCCAGGGGTGTGACGATACTGCGATACAGTGTTTTGTAGGATTGGTATCTTGATTTGAATTGAATAAGTATTATAGTTGTCTTAATAGGACAATCTGAATCAATGTACCTCAAATGTTCAAATTTGGTGTTGTGATCCTAGTATCTTGATACAGATTGTATCGCACCCCAATGTATCATTTCACCCCAGTATGTCCTCCTAGTCTGCACGGGGTGGTAAAAGCGCTCGCTTGCCACGTCAAGGGCCCTGGACCCACTTGCACAAAGCGATCTTAGCGCTAAGATGATCTTAACTCCCATACTATAACATAGGCTTACAATAGTCTTAGTGCTAAGATCACTCTGTGCAAGTGGGCCCTGGTTTGCTTCCCCATGTGGGTACAATGTGAGAAGCACCTTTCCTGTGTCCAGCCCTGATTTTGCTGGACTATTGCTAAAGGCGACAAAAAACCCAAACTCACTCACTACAATTCTGCATGATCATGCATGTGATGTAAAGATTGTTCAGACTCACATGTTAATTTATAAGGCCAGTGTGTGCTTGTATTTTTGGTATAACTTTGGATTCAAGAAGTTATTTTGTTTGAAAAAAACCCACAAATGGTGACATAAAAAATGTGTATTTCTCAAAAAAAATATTTTTGCCTCCTGTCATCTTGGCATGTTCACCAAGAAAACCCAGAAAGAAAAAGAAAGTACACGGAAAATACAGCCTTGACATAAACACGTGTCCAAATCTGTACATCATCTCTCTGTTGTGCATGATTTTGCTTGTTGTATGGGGTGATGGTTTGAAATGGGCTTGCTGTTACATGAAGTCTTTATGCTTGCTTATCATATAGATATAATCTCTTAATGAAGTGGTAATGTCTTCTGTCATTTCACTTCAGGGAGATAATACTGTTCACTTCTGTAAATGAACCGTTCTTGGCTTTGTTCCACAAAGTGATCTGTAGCCTTACGTCAATGTTAAAGCATGGGACTTACGATCCTCTTAGTGCTAAGATCGCTTTGTGGAACCGAGTCCTGAGTCCAGTTCCCATGTGATCTGATGATTATCTTAGTGATTTACCATTGTCTTAACGCTAAGATTGCTTTGTGGAACAGTGCCTTGGGCAGTATCTTAAATTATGTCAAATATTAAGCATGGCAAAAATGAATACAGAAATATTTTCTTCGATATAGAAACGTATTCATGAGTGCTCCATTTGCATGTCTTGTTATATTAACCTTTTGTCTCAAGTGAAAACCAAATAGTGTACTATGTTGTCACTATAAGCTGGCATTCTTTTAGTATTATAGACGCATCTTTAGACAACACAATTTCTAATAGCAGATTCAAAAATTAAAAGAAACGTTTGCAAACTGTTTTTCCACTCGCTAACTTACTAATAACCAATAACTATTAACTTTGTGAGAAATGCATAACATTTGATTTTTCAAATTCGGTTTGAAAAGTGAAATTTGAGCATTTTCTCCAATTTGGTTTTCATGTGTGGTATTATACTAACTGGATTCCTTATTTTCCAGACACTAAAATTGACCCATCGTTGCATGAGAGACAGAGATTGCTTAAAAAAGCTCGTCTGACTGATGGCCTCAACACCAAACTTGCCAATCGACCAGGGCCATTGGAACTGGTAGAGGGAAACATATTGAAAACAAGCGATGAGCTTGTGGAAGCCATTAAAGGTACCACAATCTACGCTCCAAGCTTGCATAACACATAGCACATGTTCCTGACAAATACCACATACGTGGTTATGCTATTGAACGTGACGAAAACCTTCCAGAAATAATTCTTTCATGTTTACTCATCTTGATAGGTGATTTCATGGTCAGTTTTCCAAAATTTGGCTTTGTGATTCCTGTTGATGAAAGTTGTCTTGAGTAAGTGTTAGCCCAGGTGTAAAGTTTTGCATTACATTTTGAGGCAGTGCACGGCCTTGCAGTCACAAATAAGGAAAGTGGTGGTTTGCATTGTGGTGTTCATTTGTTGGCTTGCAGTTTTCATTCCATTGGATGGTGTCAGTACCGTCCTGAATCTCATAGTGTATATTTCTACGTATTCAGTTTCCGTTCCCATTGGTGAAACTACCAAGTAAAAGCTTGGACATAGATTATTATTGATGGTTTTCCTGAAGCTTTTGTGGAAGCTGACATTAGTTTGATTGTTTTACAAATTGATTAGGTCTACAGAGTCTGTGCTGTCATGAACAGTTATTTATTTGTCTTGTGCGTGACCTTCTAATGTGTAACTATGACTTTGTGGCACTAACTGGTACCCCCCCAAAAAACATCTATTTTTTCAGATGTTTGCACACTTTCTTATCAGTGTTCGATTTGTTTTGTAACCCCTTTGGCAAATGTCTACAATTCCCAGATTCTGACACAAACTGTAGGAAGCCGTAACATTTAGCTCCGATGTGATGCTGACATTTTCACTTTATAAAGTGCAAAAGAACACTACAGGAATAGCAGGTGCCATTAAAAAATAACAATAGGTAACCAGATCTAGTTTATGTGAGTTCCAGTTGAAGGATTATTTATTCAAGCACAGGCAAGTAGCTTTATCAGACTGGATGGGCTCATCCATGTTGAGGGTCACACAGGCCATTGGAGAACAAGGAAAATACGAGCTCATATCCCACAGGTGCCATGGAGGATAATTGCTCAGTAGACACCTAATGGCGAAAAACATTGGTGTGCTTATGCCCGACTGGGCAAATGTTTCTGCACTTGGTTGGAAGGGGGATGTGTAGCGTTCCTGAAGTCAGTGTCTTCATCTCCAACTGTTTCTAACCCCAGGTTCTGTACTTCTTACGTGCTTCTTGTTGATGACTCATATGGTAAATCAGGGAATAATAATTGACACACACACTTGTAATACCTGAGAAATATGGGTCGTTTATTTGTTTAATTATACATCAAATGATGTGTATAATGGTTTGATGCCCAAAAGAATTTGGTTTATTTTGAACAAGACGTCTCAGCCAAAAGAAAAAAGTGCTTGTAAATGGATTAGAGCTGTGATGATACTGTTGAAAGCAGTGTTGGAAAATAGCATGTTATCAAAACACAGAGAAGTTTTATCATGGTGTGTATACTGAGTTGCGTGTATCGGTGCATGTAGGGAGCTGGTGTGCTTGCTGTGGGCTGTAGACATACCAAGACGGTTATGGAACCCTGGACATGCCAGGAGGGGCTGTAGACAGCACAAGGGGCAGGATAGGGAACATGGACATGCCAGGAGGGGCTGTAGACAGCACAAGGGGCAGGATAGGGAACCTGGACATGCCAGGATGGGCTGTAGACAACACAAGGGGCAGGATAGGGAACCTGGACATGCCAGGAGGGGCTGTAGACAACACAAGGGGCAGGATAGGGAACCTGGACATGCCAGGAGGGGCTGTAGACAGCACAAGGGGCAGGATAGGGAACATGTACATGCCAGGAGGGGCTGTAGACAACACAAGGGGCAGGATAGGGAACATGTACATGCCAGGAGGGGCTGTAGACAACACAAGGGGCAGGATAGGGAACCTGGACATGCCAGGAGGGGCTGTAGACAGCACAAGGGGCAAGATAGGGAACATGGACATGCCAGGAGGGGCTGTAGACAGCACAAGGGGCAGGATGGGGAACCTGGATATGTTAGGAATGTGTGTAGACAGTTGGAAGTATCAGACAGGTCTTCAAGCCAGATACACTGAATTCAAGACAATTTATTTTCTTGTTATCTCTTGCTGATCAACATCTTGTAGTGAGGCTTCCATTTATCCATGTCATACATTTGGACCACCATTAATTACAGCCAAGGGTACTTACCACCACTTACCATCACTCCAGTGAGTTGTGACTGTTCAAGTGCCACATCATGTGATGAAAAACCAGGAACTGTTATTGAGAGGCATTTACAGATAAGATGTATTTTGTTACTGGGTGTCATTGGATTTTGTTTAGAGTCAGCTTCAGAAGTTTATTCAGTTTCTACATTAGAACACATCTGTGCACTCAGTTGTTGCTCTACATACTGAAGGCCTGCCGTAGGGTTATCAACAGGTTTCTGATATGATGGCTAGACTTACTGCAGAGGTTGTTAATGACGAGATCATCTTTTCAATTTTGGAAGAGATAGGCTTGATGTTTATGTAGTGCTAGCTATGGCATGGAAAAACTGCTAACTACCTTTGAATTCTGTTTGAGCCTATTATCAGAGTTGTAAAGATAATCTTATCTTTCCTGCCACACCAGTTTAATGTTTTGTCAGAATACACCAAGTAGCAACATTCTAACAGGCGGACACAAGCCCAGATATTTCCTCTTTCAACACACATTTAAGAAATATTTACATTTTATGTGGAGTAATTCAATTTTCTTCAACTTTTGTATAATTTCAAATTGCAATGAGAATGTAAGAACATATGATCTTAAAGTGGTTGAAATAGCAATTGGCTTCATGCCAAATTCCTGCCAGCCTCTTGTCTTATCATGGCTGCATTATTGAAATACCTGTTTGTATTTATTAGATTGCAATTTTTGCTCATTATATGGGGTTTATTATCTTACCATGCCACCTTTATGAGTAACATCAGTGTTCTTTTTGTACTTTGACATATTTAGTATGTCACACCTTCAGATCAACCAAACATAAAAATGTATTTGTCTGAATATGATTTATATGAACATAATAATACTGTCTATATTCATCACATATATTCATCCTAAAACTGTAGTATGTATGACCTAGGTGTAGATGTGATAAACAAATTAAACCAACTCTTGTCATCATGTTACAGATGGATCTATTGCCTTCAATAAGACACGGGAGAATGAGGATATCCTCATGCAACCTCAACACTTCCTGTTTGATGAAGAGAGCATCAGTGATGGAGCGCCATCGCCCCCTCAGGATGACTCCAGCTTCTCGGACATCAGCAGCCCCAATTCCATGCCCCCGCCTCCTCCTGAACTCCCGGTCTCCATGCAGAAGAGCCCCCCACCACCTCCTATCATCACCAAGATTTCATCAAGTGTGTTGAGCAGCCACCCAGTTACATCACCCAAAAATGGGAATTCCAGCAGCAATGGCAACAATAAATCAAGACCAAAGAAATCCAAGCCAAAGACTGCACCTAAAGCTAAAGTTATCAAATTCCATGAATACAAGGGTCCACCAAACGTTGTTAAGAACCAACAGAGTTCCCAACAGAACAACAACAACGAAACTCCTTACCACGTCATGCTGCAGCAGCAGCAGCTGTTCCTTCAGTGGCAGCTGGAGTTCCAGCAAAAGAACCTGCCATTCCTCCTGCCATCACAGAAGCTGGGTGAAGGGCAGCTCCCTCCTGCAACTGTCGGACTCCAACCCCAAGGCAATCCCCCAAACAGCATGGTAGTCACGGCACCAATGGTCTCTACAGTTCCTAAGACTGAGACAACTCAGTCTGTCATCCATGCTCCCACTGTAGTCCAAACACAACAGCCACAGCAGCCACAGATTAAACAAGAGATTGTTCAGCAACAAATCTCCCAACCACCATCTCCAGTTGTACAGTCCCATCCTCCTCCAAGTCGACATTCAAGCAGTAAATCAGCTGCCATCAATGCTGTGGCTGCTTCCCATCCTAAACTGACAGGAAACCTGGAGGAGTTGAAGGTTGCTGACTTAAAAGCAGAGCTGAAGAAGAGGAACATGCCTGTGTCTGGCTCTAAGCCACAGCTCATCGAGAGGTTAAAACCATACACAGAAGTAGCACCAGTGGCTGCCTCTCCTGCACCTGTTGCAGTAAGCCCAGCCAATTCACCAAAACCAACTGTTACAATATCCCTTCAGAGTCCAACTCCTCAGGATACAAATGTGGTTTCTCCACCACCCATACAGACTGTGAATGCTATACTTAGTGTACAGTCAGTAGCATCTAATGAAGAAGCTAGTATTATCAACTCTCCACCGACCTCACCATCATTGATGGAAAGTGTCCTAACTCCACTCTCTCCTGATTCAATGGAAGTGTCTAGTGCTGGTGTGACATTAAACCAGTTGAAAAGTCAGCACAGCTCTAATCATAATTCGGTACCTATGTCCGTGGACCACCAGTCACGACCACCGTCAGTGGTGTCAGCAATGTCCACTGAGGTGGCGATGGATGTGGACCAGGTGCCAGGTGAACCCGGTCAGAGTATTAACACTATTACCACTCTCAGTCCAGCAGTTCAAATGCAGATCCAACAGGCACAGCTGCAGCAACTGCAGAAAACCCAAGTACAGCTGCAACAACTGCAGCAGCTTCAACAGCTGCAGCAGATACAGCAGGCACAGTGCCCAGCTCAGGCTCAGCAGCAGGTGACTCAAGAGGACATCCTGAGACAGCAGCAGAAGCACATCGAGGAGCTGCAGAGGCAGCTTCAGGAGTCCCAGATCCGACTCCAGCTGCAGCAGCTGCAACAGGTTCATCTCCAACACCAGAATCAGCAGCTGTTGCAGCAGTCCGTGGTACAGTCTACTGCTACAACACCAATGATGAACACCATACAGATCAGTATAGCTGGCAACAACAAGTCTCCCCAGCTGCAGACAACTGCAGCCAAACCCATTCATATTCCAGCTCAGCTGCTGCAGAATGCCCAGACCATCCAGACAACCAGCAATCAGGCTATTCCTGCTGTCATTGTTACCAATAGTGCAGAGAAGAAGCATGTTATTCCGGACTTCCTAAAGACTTCGTTGCATGAAAGCCTGAACATGGGCACGAGTAAGCCCAAAGTGTCTGTTGCTACGGCACCTGCCGGTGTTCAACAGCCCTTTGTCTTCACTGCTTCTTCAGTTAAAACCTCTAGTGCTGCTGTCCCTCCTAATGGTGTTACTCACACAAGGTGAGTGGCTCGTCTGTGAACTGTATACTGACCAGGGTGTAGTGGTTGGTTTGTTGTTTAACATGTTTAATGCTGCATTCAGGATTCCAGCTGTACGATAGTGGCCTGTTTATAGTCAAGTCTGGACCAGACTATCCAGTGATTGATGTTATGATAATGGTCCAGTCTGTGCCCAAAATCTTTGAGACTACTATCCACAACATGACTCGTACCGTTTTTTCATTAGATTTATTGTAACTATGTAGACTATTTTTAGCTGAGCTAACTAGGCCAAATAGAATTTAACTAGTCCCAGGCTTTGGATTAGTGGCTAGTTGTCAGGCTACGATGATCACCCAAGCTTTCAAGCAAGTCTCCAAGCCTGACCACCCAATCCATTAAGTCTAGATTTTCCACAGGTTATTAGTTTCTGAATCTCTCATTTCACTTGGGCTCCTTTTCAATTTTAATGGAGTTTGTTTGTTTCTATCAAAATAATAAATTTCTAAGCATTAGTCTAATGTAATCCCTTTGAGGGTTCCTGGGTAAAGGAGGTCTTCAGTAATCCATGTGTGTTGTGAGAGATGTCTAATGAGGATGTGGTGGTCATAATGTGTGACCTGGGCCCTGTTCCACAAAGCTACCTTAGTGCTAAGATGATTGTAACTCCCATACTTGAACATTGGCTTATGATAGTCGTAGTGTTAAGATCGCTTTCTAGGCTCTGTTCCACAAAGCAATCTTTAACGCTAAGACTTTCATAACTCCCATACTTTAACATACACTTAGGATAATCGTAGCGCTAAGATCGGGACAGAATATGGGCATGTGTGACACTTCTGGATAAATGCCTGATGAGGCATGTAAGGCTTGGTTGTTTTATCTTTCTATGTTGCTTCCTCAGCATTGCTGGCCGCAACTCCTTGCCCAACTCTCCGCTGGATGGCCAGAAGGTGATCACCAGGAGTGCATCCAACCCCTTTTTCTCCCTCCCTATGAAGGAGCCTCCCAAGTATGATGATGCCATCAAACAAATGCATAATCAACCACAGGTGTGTACAGTCAGCACGATTGGACCAACAGGACTCTAGAACTGATCTAAATATTTCATATTCAGCTGTCCGGGTTTTATATTTTCTACATATACTGAACAAAAGAAGTTAGGGATCATGAATCTTTTCGGGGATATCTTAGTGAAATTGTGTACTCAGTCTTTATTACAAAGGAGACGGTCGGGTAGCCTAGTGGTTAAAGCGTTCGCTCATCATGCCGAAGACCCGGGTTCGATTCCCGACATGGGTACAATGTGTGAAGCCCATTTAAGGTGTCCCCCGCCATGATATTGCTAGAATATTGCTAAAAGCGGCGTTAAACCATACTCACTCACTCACTCAATATATTTCAAAGTAATATCTCCAACAATATTCATGATCCCTTACCTTTTTTTGCAGTATATAAGATTCATTTTTTCAACCATTTTAAGATGATCAAGATATAAAATAAGTGATAAATATAGATATATGTTTTTGTGAGAAGATTTTATCACTGTCACTATGATGTTTTGTAGACAAATGCTGTGATATCCCAGGCCGATCGTGGATCGTCGCCGAACCCACCTGACCCAACAACAGTGTCACACAAGAGTCCTATGATGGACGATGTTCTAGAGATTCTTATAAGGCATGGAGGTAGGTTGTTGCAGCTGTTTTCCTCTACTTTTCACTTTTGTAGATATGTACGAGTTAGCAATGCTGGTCCGATGGGGAGGGTTCGTCAATTGGTGATATCCTTGAAATGTGGTTAGCTACAAAGTGGGTGTTGTTGGATGCTGTATTAACATGGTGGCTTTGATTCACGATCCTAGTGATGACCCCCTCTGTTGTCTAGTGGATAGAGCATTGGCCTGGAGAGTGGAAGGTCGGGAGGTTTGATCCCCGGCCATGTCAAACCAAAAGCCATTATAAAGATACTTGTAACCCTGCCTGGCTCTGGCAGCAGTAGAAACTAACAGTTTTCGTCCACTAGTCCTTATAATGATAACATATAGCAAGCCCCTTAAAAAAAACAAATTTCTACTCATCCTTATGATACCTTAACTATTGGGCAGTTTGGCAAGGACTATGGGACTAGTGCCAATTTCTAATGCTGCTCTTGTCATTCAGGGGATAAAACAAGGACTGGTCGGTGAAGAGTCAGTATATTGTAGCTGAGTGGGATATTATTCATGTTAAAACATGTCAAAATCATGTCTTTATCAGTAATAATTGCCTACTGTTGTGCAAACCGTATGAACTTACAGTTTCATAGTATGTGGTGTGATAGATGGTGTGGATAAAGATATTGACACCGAAGGCCATGTTTCACTTTCCCACTAAGGTACAATGTGTGAAGCCAATCTCTGGTGTCCTCAGAATGATATTGCTGGAATATTTCTGAAAGGGGCATAAAACTTACTCCCCCCACTGACTACAACTTTAATACATTTATGATCAACACCTAGGAGACAATGTCTTCTAGGAATGTAGGCAGCACGGGTGGCCCTGTCGTCTAATTTGTCGATTTTGCTGTGCAGACTTGTGGCCCTTGGGCACACCATAAACCCATGATTGAAGATTCCAATTCTGGTTTACCCCAATTATGTTGCTAGGATTGTCAGCACCATACCTGTGCTCGAGCGTTTCACCAAAGTGGTAAACATCTGAGACCTGCATCACTTGGGCTTTGCTCCTAAATTAAGCAAACACACTCAGGATATAACTGGAATACTGTTCTCAGAAGTGTTGATCCCAACTCACTCACTTAAGGAATGTCATAAAGTTTCTGATTATTTGTACCATATTTGCTTTGATTGTTGCAGATCTGCCTCCAAGTGCAGCTACAGAACCCCTGACGACGCCAAAGACCACGGAGGCCATGACACTGCCCAGTGTAACAGCATCTCCGTCTGTGTCTCTCCCAGTCAACTCAGCACAGAGCTGTGGTGGCTTGATGTTCTCTAAAGCAGATGTCATCATGTCAAACACTGCCACAAACACTGTGACTGTCAACTCCTTGGGATCTGCCCATGATGTGCCGATTTGCGTGGTAAAGAACATTAAGAAAGAAGTGCCCGATTTCGTTGCCCCGGTAGTTGTGAGTTCCCCTCTGCCACCCTGCCCAGCAGACACCAACACAGAACTGCTTGATCTCACAGAAATGTTGTCTGCTGGCGAATTAGGGGGAATGGATTGGACAAGTGACCATAATTTCTCTGGTCTGGATTTGACAGACCCGACGCCAGTCTCTCTGGACACAAGGTTGACCAACAGTGACACCGGTCTCCTCAGTGTGCCTACTAGTTGTGCTCAAAAATCAGGCAGCACTCACGGATCTGAGCCCGACTTGGCATCCCTTGGACTGAATGACACTGATGCCAACAGCAACATGCAGATAGACGTGTCTGATTGGCTGGATGTTATTGTCCCGAGCACTGGGCTGACCCCACTCAGCACTAATGCCCCAGTATCATTCTCATCCGACCCCATCCTAACTCCCAAGACACAACAAGAAGTGTTAGACCTGTTTAACTTTGACGAAGCAGACTTCAGCACTCCTACAGATTCTCACTGTGGTTTGAACTGGGAGAAACTGGCCGAACCAAGCTCAAGTTAGTGGTCGTGTGTGATGTAATGCTGCTGCTGCTGCTGATGTTAACGCTGATGCCAGCCCGAGGGCTGCTGTGACCAGATTATGCCGATTACTTCTATTGGACCAAGTGCCTCCTCAGCACCTAGGTGGACTGACAGCCTGACAAGCTAGAGCCAGTGCACCTCCAGTGTAGGATGTGTCTAGATCTAGACTGCCCAGTGACTAGGAACTGCCAAAAGATTATGCTTGTGATATCGGCTCTCACTGTGTGTTGTAGGGCTGCGACAGCTGATAGTCTTCACACTCTTGTACCACATGTATTACAAATCTACTTCCTAACAGGTTTTAAATATGCCTCTTATGGTTGCCTATAGTTTACTAAAACACAGTGTGTCCCCTATGTATTTCTTGACTTTATGGCAGTTTGGTTCACTGTTTATTGGGTCCATCAAAACGGAATGTTGTTATTTTTTGGTATTTTGCATATATCTGTGCTGTAGACACGTTCGTTCATTGTGAGCAGTGGTCGTCACTGAACATGTTCTGTTCTCATCAGTCAGTCATCTGCCTCTGTAACTAAGCATTCCATTCGTACTTCACTCTCCCTCTGTGTGAGCTGTGCATGCACAAAGTAGAAGTTAGAGCTTGACAATGATGATGTGTTATCAACCTTGCGGGGACCATGTAGGACGAATCACACTAAGCTTTATGGGCACTGACAGGAGGGCCTCGAAATGGCAGCAACACTGGTTCAGACTTCATCAAGAGTGGTTCTGCCATCACTTCATTTAAAGCATTATTCAAATCCAATTGCAGCTGTTAATAATAGCGAAAACATGAATTATGAAGCATCTGCTTCTCTTAGTTTCTTGTAACTTATCATATCATGTAGAGATCATTGAGTCAAGGACTCCAGAGCAAGCATTTCATCTGTGTGGTTCTAATACGCATCAGAATTGACAGCAATAGTACCAAGTGGCTGGTATAAGTCAATTGATTGTTTGTATTGCATACAAGCCATATTGTCACAGCATTAATACCTTCCAAGATGCTGGTCTGTAGATAAATCCCGAGTTTGTCCACACTATCAAGTACCATATTGATAATCCAACCTTCCACTAGGTTAAAAACTTTAAAAACCTGTTAAGAATAATCTTAATCATAGAAAATCCTTAAGGTTCTTAGGAAAGACCATTATCTGATGAATATGGTCACAATTCTCTTTCCCTTTCCCCCTATACATTCCTCAAATGGACTCTTCTACCACTGTTAATGAGATGCCTTTAAGGGGAGTAAGGGGTGTTACCAGTACTACTCTAGCCATCATCGGTGCAATTCTAACATTCCCCAACTAGCTTTGTCACTAGCTGCAGCATCTTCTACTTTGTGCATAGTCTCTCATAGCATCCATTTTCACGTAAGTTGAAGAATCTACACGACTATATAAATTTGTTATGCATATCATCACCATGCCCTGTAAGCTCTACATAAAGTCAGATCACGTTCACAACTCATTGGCATCTAAATATGTTCTCATCGTGACCAGTCAGTGCTCAAGACTATCAGTTCCATGTAAATTAACTCTTTCTGGTCTTATATTCTTTATCAGTATTCTCCATCTTTTTGGCTTTGGCCTAAAATGTAATACTGGTACAAATATATACTATATCCAATCATATCAATTAATTATCTATGTATGTGGCATAACATCAGGCCATGTATAGTGACCTGAAATAATCGATGATATATACAAGTTTATACATCCGAAATATTGTTTGGTGATTGTTCTCAGAAAGTCAAGTTTTTGTTTATGAATTATGAAATTTCATCCTTTTGGGGAGAAAAAGAACATGTTTTATAATAATTGATATTACTTTTGGGTATGACTGTCACAATTCGTCTCATTCCTTGTTGCTGTGATAAACAAATGTTAAGTTGTTACCATCATCGTCAAGGCATGAATAGCCTCTACTGTGTAGTACAGGTCCTACCATGTCATACCTTGTCATACCTTGTCATACAATGTCATACCATGTCATACAGGCCATATGATGTTATGCCATGAAGACCATGTTGTCTAGGTAATATATGCTACTCAAAAGAAGTTAAAGAACATCCCACTTATTGATATGACTATAGTTAATCTGTCATGGCTGTGGGTATTGCAAAACACACAGCCTTCTAATGTGTGTGTTCTTTAACTTGTTTGGAGTAGTATACAATGATATTGCCATGTTCACAGATGTTACTATGTTTAACAGGTTCATACAATGTACTACATATGCATACAGTGTACTACAGGTTACCTAGTGCTCAGAAGGCTCCGTACATATATGGAAATTGTTGTAGTGTGCAACAGAATGTATGAACTGTACTTAAGCAGTGACCCAACCTATTGATATCAATCGGACCTTCACATGTTTTGGTATTAATGTGGTAACCATTGTTATGTGCAGTGATCAGACATGGGTTGAGTGCTATATATGTGTCAGTGTTTCTCTATCATTGGTGACAATGGCTACCTATCATGGACCCTTGCCATTCATGCCAGACGATAGCTTGTGGACATCTGTGACCGTGAATAGTTTTTGTCAGTGTTGGGTGAAAACTCTTGAACTAATACTGTTCAAACAGGAACAAAACTGTTGGCTAAATGTAGAAGTACTTACTAGTGTCACTCTGTAAACCAGCAAGCCAACCTGTTTAGTGAGTGCTAGTAAACGGTGCATGTTTATTGAAACTATGGGAACTACAGACCATCTTACCCACAACCTTGACCTTGAGGATCACAAGGGAGATAACTCAAGACTGGAGGTATTCAAGCACCATTGTGAAATAGTTCTGTGATATAAGCTTTTGGTGAAGAGTTGTTACGTAACGCGATGGGTCAGTAAGTTAACAGTGAATGATCTGTTGTGTAGCAGTCACTAGTTGTTGTCTGAGGTGCCTCCAGATGACTTGGGAAACCCCAGTGAAAACCAGGAACTGCAGACCTACGCCCGGCGGGACAAGTCCGGGTAAAACATGTCCTGATGTGATTCAATATGCAGAAGTCCTCCTCATTTAGCTGTATGTGTCAAATGAGTTGGTTTTGTATGGTGTATTTTTTCATTGTAATTATTTATTGTGATTGATGAGTATATTCAGTTGTATAAACCTTTATTAATTGATAACTTTTGCATGACTTCTTGAGCGAGATATGTCTGTACATTATGTGTGTGGTTTGAGCTGAGTTTGGTTGTACCCATGACATACTAAAACCTTCATTCTTCATTCAACATTGTTGTGTCTGTCTGTCTGTAGTAGGCCTGTCTAGTATAGTCTTAGTTGCTGAAAGCCGTCCACTATCGTCGCTGATAAGCAAAACATCGACCAAACGTTTCATTAAGATTATCTCTAGCTCACTTCACAAAGTGCATTTTCATTATTTGTGATAAAGTCAGACAGCCATCGAAAATGGTTTAAGATTGTTCCATGCTGTTGCTGATCTTTCGGTCTCATCCCTGTCATAACCGTGGTCTGCAAGACTGACCTCTTGGCATTGTACCATCATACAGTGATCTAAGACCACTGACCTATGGCATCATACCAGTCATACCAGTGACCCTGCTTGACCGTCAAATGGTGTGGGGCAGTAGCATAATGTTAGGCCAGGCTTACAAGTCTTTCATTGTCAGGGGAAAGTTTCCCACACGGAAATCTACTTAATTAATGTGTCCATGAATATTGTTTGAGTAGCAGTTTGACACATCATTCACTCGTATTTCCACATAGAGAATAACTGCAATAGTGTCATGTTATAAATACCTGATATGATTGATCTGCAAAATGTTCCTTTGTATTTTCTCTACATGTATTTCCTTAAGAGCCTGTTTAAGAAATTAGATGAAAGTCACTGAAAGGATTATAGACGGATTATTTCGCTTGCATTCTACACTTACAAAGTACATTTCCTGTGTGACAGCACCCTCGATTATCAAGCGTATTATGTCTCCTTTATATAACCATGCATACCCTAGACCCATGATGTTACAAATACGACAATCAAATGACACGAGTGAGAGAGCTTCTGTGCCAGGTTAATGCTGGGAGATATTGTGATGTTGCTTCCAAAGCCAAGCTTTTATGGTGAAGGGGTCTAGGTATTGGTTCTAATAGAATGGAGACATACTACGCTGGATAACCTAGGATGGTGACAGTCCAATCTTTATTTCCTCCTCACCCAAACTTCCATAATAGAGATTATGTCAACGCTGTTTGCATATTAGTTCCTTGTTCATACTGATAATGTGATTTTCAGTTGTTCATCTTTACTTACAAACCATTGTCGTGTTCACCTAGAATCTCATTTCTTCCATTCTGTCTACCTCTTGAAACTGTCTCCTTCAAGATTAACTCACAATTAACAATTGGTTCTAATTTCGAAACTGATTTGAATAGGGTACACCTTTCCACTTTCACAACTATCTCAAATAGCTGAAGGTCAGTTAACATTGGTAAGTTTAACATTGCGTATTTCCAAAATCTTCTTTTCTATCAAGGAGCATTAAAGTCATTCTCTCTTCATTTACTTCACGTTGTTCAAGATGGTTGATCGAGGGTATTTCCCTGCACCTGACTCAGTCAATACTGTGTATGCATACTGTTATCACACCCTAACTCATGTGATATAGGTATATCCACATGACATATTCCATCTGATGTCACCTGACAGCAGAGACAAACAGCTAGCCTGTCCTTCTCGAAGGTAGAATACTTCAGAAATACAGTTTCAGTATAAACCATTACTCATTCCATCGAGGTGAGGTGACCTTGCTCCCGTCCTGACCTTCTTGTAGTGCCCACTAGGTTTATGTTGTTTTACATTCCACAAAACATCGTCAAATATGGAATATTTTCCTAAGTTATCAATATTCTCACCCAAGAATAACCAACAGAATCAATTAATATATTAACATTGTAGTGTGTATTAGAAGTTATAAACATCTGTATAATTCTGACATTATTTATCAATGGTTTATAGGTCCTTCATGCCTGTTTCCCCTTTGCCCTCACAGCACAGTTTGTATGTGAGTGTATATGTATATATATATTGCCACCTTGGACATGACAAGGAGAGGCAATTGTTCTCATGCTCCAACATCTAACAATGTGATGGAAAACATACATGTTTGAACAGGGCTGTATCAGAAAGCACTCAGAGCTCTGCGACTGTCAATGTTATGGTCGTAGAGCTAGGATTGCTTTGTGAACAGGGCCTCGAGATGCATGACAATGCAACATGGAGCTGAGATTCACAAACTTTGATTTATGAGCACCATGTTAGCTTTGTGAATGTTCGGGACAAGATTATGTGAGCAAAACTGCATGAAATTAATAATTCACTTTTCTTTTTTGTAAAGTTGTCAACTGATCTATTCGGCATTTTGGTGTTTGCTGTTGAGAAGTTGTTTATTTTAGATATTTAGACCAAGGTTCTCATCACTTTTATAAAATGTGTGAAATTTAGACATTTGAGTATCTCCGAACAGTTGTCATGTCTTTGTTAACCTGTAAGTGTTAGTGCTATTTATCCTGCATGACTTAGCCAGTGCTTTTGTTCCTATGTGGTTGTGTGTTGACGTCACTGTCAATACCTTGCGCTCACAGTTGGATTCCATACAATCAAAACTCTCTTTATGATATGGTGCTATTATCCAACCTTTTCCTCTAACTCTTGTAGCAATGGGTATGTGTTTCATTGTACAAAGTAGCTTATTCACTGTACAGTACAGCATCATAGTGTCACATTGTGATCATTCAGTAATACAACATTGCATCACCTTGTGATCATACTGCTTACAGCTTATACCAGTGAATATGTGATAATACAAAACTAGCCTTATTTGCACTTTATACAGAAAAATCCAAACGTGATAAATAAATCTGATAACATTTCCCTCATAATCAAAGAATCAATAGTTGGTAGTTTCTTTCAAGTGGAAAACAAATATTTTGAATGAGAGAAGATAATTATTGGTGTTGTGGATGAGTGAAATTAAGTGGGATTAACTGAAAAAAAAATGGATCTTGTGCATTGTTTTGTACATTTAAGGCCCAGGGTTGATTGAATGTTACATATTCCTCCCTGTTCATATGGCTCAGGTCTACAACACCAGTATTATTAACCCTACATTTTGTAGACTAGTTAGGTAAGGGTTAACCAGGCTGTAGTGCTGCACACTGTTGTCACTTGTTAATTGACCTGCACTTTATATATACAGCCTCTTCCAGTCCCGCCTTTCCTATGCCAACTCATCATTGTTGAATTTTAAAGTTTGGTTTTACGATACTCACTTGTTATTGTATCTAGGAGGATAAAAATATTTTGTGAACTAAATTAGATATTTTTGATTGTTGAAAATGAGTGTTTTAGTGATGCACTTTTTTTGCAATTTGGTCAATTTTGTATCACCGAAATATTTGATGGGTCTTGTTTGTGACACTGTTTCTTGATGAGATGTTAAGAGTGTGCTACTGTTAAGTCGCTGGTGTTTCAATCAAGGCCATCCCTAGTCAGTCTGAAGGTCTGACAACTTTATTGCTATTTAAACTTTGGAAGAAGCCAGGCTAACTCTTTTGTTTCATTTAATGGATGTTCAAGACAAAATAATGCTGTGATGTAATGGGAATACTGTGAAAACTGGTGTTTTTCACTTACTTATTCAAGACAAAATAAATTTGAGACAAGCAAATGTGGTCAGAATTATTTGGAAGCCAAATATGAAAAAGAAAATTGTGACATTTTTAATCTCAGAATCTGCCATTGTAAGCTTCTAGTTTATTTTCCTATGAAACAAAAGCTGTTGATGAGATTTGGAAAACTAAAATTCTTAACTCCATAAAATGAGGGGTAGGGAGTTGGTCTGGCCGAATCTTATAATATTGTAAGTCAGTAGCTGTGGACCATATGTTTAATTTAGCTAATGATCCTTGACAAATGTATCTGAATGAAATCTTTAGATTAGTTGTTAGATTTTTAGGTGTTAGTTGTGATATCAAGTGGGAAAAACATATTTCACTATATTTGAATATATGTGTTACTATCCATAGTGAAATTAGACAGGAAAGAAAATGTGGCAATATTCTGAAGATGACTGGAAGAGCATTTACTTCGTAGATGAAACTTGTAACACTTCATTCTTTCAAATATTGCAGTATATTCATAAAACTATAAGCAATTCACCATTGTATTTCATGAAACAAACACTTAACTAGTTCACAGACATTCAACATAATATCAACCCGATTCAATATCATAGTTCATTCATTATCAACTCATACAAAGAACTAAGAATCTTAAATCTATTTTGTGTATTTTGATACTGTTAAGCCCTTGGGATTAGTATTAGCTATTTGAAGAGCACCTGTAGCTGCTGTGTACTGCTGTTCATCACCACACTGGCTGTGTCTGTCTGTCTGTCTGTCTGTCTGTCTGTCTGCAGTTGTCATCTTCAGCAGATTGGGCAACAGCCAGCACATGCCTTTCCTCAGACTGTTTGTGTGACTTGTACATATGTTAACAGTGCAGTTGGCTTTGTATATGCATCCAGATGTGAACACTATCTAGACCTTATGAAATAAATGCTTGGTATGAAGTACTGAAGTTGTGTTGGATGTGTGTTGCTGGTTTAGTAATTTATTGAGCTGAACATTCAGATGTGTCTCTGACAAGCACTACAAATATGTTGGTGGCGGCTTCATGTCACCGGGTTGGCTTGACCATCACAGTGTCTTGACCTTCACATGGTGGCTTGACCATCACAGTGTATTGACCCTGACACTGGTGGCTTGCCCATCACAGGGTCTTGACCTTCACATGGTGGCTTGACCATCACAGTGTCTTGACCTTCACATGGTGTCTTGACCACCAGTGTCTTGACCTTCACATGGTGTCTTGACCACCACAGTGTCTTGACCTTCACATGGTGGCTTGACCATCACAGTGTCTTGACCATGACATTGGTGGCTTGACCATCACAGTGTCTTGACCTTCACATAGTGGCTTGACCATTACATTGTCTTGACCTTCACATGGTGGCTTGACCATTACATTGGTGGCTAGACCTTCACATGGTGGCTTGACCATCACAGTGTCTTGACCTTCACATGGTGGCTTGACCATCACAGTGTCTTGACCTTCACATGGTGGCTTGACCTTTACATAGTGTCTTGACCATGACATTGGTGGCTGGACCTTCACATGGTGGCTGGACCTTCATATGGTGGCTTGACCATTACATTGGTGGCTAGAGCTTCACGTGGTGGCTTGCCCATCACATGGTGGCTTGACCATCACAGTGTTTTGACCTTCAAATGGTGGCTTGACCATGACATTGGTGGCTGGACCTTCACCTGGTGGCTGGACCATCACAGAGTCTTGACCTTCACATAGTGGCTTGACCATCACATTGGTGGCTGGAGCTTCACATGGTAGCCTGACCTTCACATGGTGGCTGGACCTTCACATAGTTGCTTTACAACCAGTTAGTCTTTGTGTGCTAGCTGACCATCGCATGAAGAAATGGGGTGACTTGTCTAATGGTTAAAAAATGGTGTCTTTTATGACCTGAGTTCATGTCTTCATATAGTACTATGTATGAAGCCCATTCCTGAAGCCCTCCCGCCTTGTGGGGATTCATGGCTAGGAACGGTCCCTAGCAACCTATGCTGGCCAAATGAATCAGGATGCCAGGCTTGATGACATGGTTGATAGTGTTCCCAACAGAGTGCACAATATCAAACAAAGAAATAACCTGTGGCATTACTGCTATATGGCTAATAGCAGGATGGTTTATTACAATAATATAATGCCATTATGGGTACCTACACCATGAGATGTGACTGATATATACAATGTGTGAACATTTTATAAGAGGTGTCAAATATGTGCAGTGCCTTCTTTGCCTGGACCACCACTCAGAGTATATTGTTAGGATTTGCCTAGATGACCAGGTTAATTGTACCTAAACCTTCACATCCAGTTGGTACCGTCGATTTAGTTTAACACATCCCATATTGATACCTTAATTGACCAAACAGTGCATTGTTCTGCACAGAACATACAAATGTGAAATCTTTTGCTCTGGACATTTCATTACAAAAACTTGAGCCATTTGAGAAAATTGTTTTGCTGTGACAAATTAATAAAATAAACAGGGGCGTGTGACCTTTAGAACATTGACAACTTGAGCGTAAAGTGATAAAGTACTTGCAGAAAAAAAACGACTCAAAACCGAAAGAAAACCGTGTATACACCTAGAAATTGATTATGCACCCCCTGACAAAATATAGAACAGGGACATACCCGTTCATAAAAAATCATGTTTCATGATTCTCATTCATAGTATGGCTGTCGATCTCGAGTAATGTTATGACAATAACTGAATGTGTCGGCCAAACATACAGACATGAACGCGAAGCATGAAAAATACCTCTTTGATATTGATGCAATTAAAGGTATATAAAGTGGCAGTTATCCGATGATTTAGTCAGCACATGTAACCGTGGCACGCAGGAGGCTGCCTGGTGCACTCCGTTGGCAAATTATTGGCATGCATGACACAGGTATGTCATACAGAGCCATTGGACGTCAACTTGGCTATCTTTCATCAGTCATCAGCAGACTCGTCAGAAAACACCGACAGAAAAGAAATAAACGACCGTCCACGACCAGGGCCACCCCAAAAGACAACTGTACGGGAAGACAGGGCTGTAGCACGTCTTGTGAGGCGACAGAGCAAAGTTCTGAAAGAACAATGGCTTCCCAACAGGCATCTGTCCACCAGACCTGTCCGTAACCGGCTGAAATCATTTGGGTTGAAGTCACGAAGGGTCACCAGATGTCCTTTGTTAACTGCTCATCATCAGAGACTTCGATTGGCTTGTATGGTGAGACCTTATTGGAATCTGAGGACGTGGCGACGGATCCGTTGGTCTTGCTGCACGTCACACAGATGGGGAATGCGGGTTTGGAGACACAGAAACACTGCGTATACCCTTAGGAACATTGTACCAGCAGTCCCGTATGGTGGAGGCTCCGTCATGGTGTGGGCAACAATATCTCATGACTAAACAGTACGAGGGATTCACAACGGCCATCTTTACATCCAGGACAACCTCAATCCTGTTGTTGTGCCACATTTTGACAATCATGCACATGCCACTCAACCTGTGTTGATTGACGACAAAGCTAGACCCAATCGTTCTCACGCTGCTGACACTTTGCCTTGGTCCGCTTCGAGTCCAGATTTGAATCCATTGGAACATGTTTGGGACATTCTTGGACGTCGGCTGCAGGCAATGGATCCACCTGTACAGAATGTGGCAGCTGCATTGCATCGGGCATCGCTGCAATTGCCTCGTGATCGTATCAGAAGACTTTCTAGAGGAATGAGGAGGATAGAATCGGTTATCCAGGCACAGGGCGGTTACACTCGCTAATGATTTTCAGGATTGTGATTATCTTTGTGAGATAACAAAGTACATTTTTGGACAGTAATTGTCATTCATACCTGATCATGGAACTTCCCATATCCACAGTTTTCGTGTTTTTCAGTTTTACTCAATTACAGTGGTATCGCTAATGTGTTATTAAGGCAATTAAAATATTGAACATTTTATCATTCTCTGTGTTTTCATTAGTCAAGAGTCTCATCTTACACAAGACATTTAATTCTCCACCATAGCCCAGGCTTGACGAGAATGATACCTTGTTGTTGGACAGATATGGTCGCAAAACAAGGGGGTGTTTAATTAATTTCTAGGTGTATGGATGTGAGTATAGTATTAGGGAAGGCTGTCCCTTTCTATGCCACAGTAAAGAGGTGGGCAGTAGAATTTAAGCGTGGCAGGGAGAGCTATGAAAACAACCCCCGTCCTCAAGGTCTGTCACATCAACAACACTAGAAATGATACAGAGAATCCATGATATGGTGATGATCGACCGGCGAATGACTGAGCGTAACATTGCTAGTTTAGTAGGCATCCCCTTGAGAGAATACATATCATTATCACAGACATTTTGGCAGTGAAGAAAGTATCAGCTCAGTGGGTTCCAAAGCTTCTGACATCTAATAAAAAGACACATTAGGCACAACATGTCTCTATATCGTGATAATCTAGCTCTGTTTGAAGCTGACCCAGAAAGGTTATTGCAACGATTTGTCACGATGGATGAAACCTCGGTCCACCACGCAATTTCTTCTTTGTGAGGCTTAGATCTTATCAATTAACCCTCGTACCTTCACGATTCCCTATGGGGAAATAAACAAACAAACCTTCACCATCGTTATAAGTGTAGTACGATGAATTTTGTGGTTCCCTCAAAAATACAATGGCGAGATTTGGTATAGAAAATGAATAACTGATGGCTATTTCTTGCTGGAGGTTTATACTTTGAAAGGCTTGTTGTTATGAAGCTAACGATGTCCTTGAGTATGTTTAGACTCTGCAATACATATTCAACTTGAGACATTATCTGGAATTTACATATGTAAGAAAAACAAGAACGTTTACAATCTTTCTTTCTTATGATATGATCTGGAGTATGTAAATGTATTTGACTGCACTCTTTAAAGGCAACACGTTCACACACTGATTGCTGGTTAGATAAGCTTTACCAGGGGTTATTCTGAGTGCAAACACATTTCATAATTAAACAATACCTATATACAAATATATCAACACATCAAATAACTGTGCACATATATCCTTCGAGTACTACGTAAGTCGGTGCATGTTGTTCAACTGAAAAGAGTGCTTACATATTCACTATCTGAGGAAGAGATCTGTAAAACCATACATCTTGACTTCAAAAGTTTGCATCCGTTATTAAGACCGAGTGTATTACCGTTGTATATATTCTTCATTCCAACATAAACAATAGTTTCTTATCAGGAGTAGGAGCGGTCAGGTAGCCTAATGGTTAAAGCGTTCGCTCGTCATAGCGAAGACCCGGGTTCGATTCCCGACATGGGTACAATGTGTGAAGCCCATTTCTGGTGTCCTCCGCTGGTGGCCCATATCTGGTGATATTGCTGGAATATTGCTTAAAGGGGCCTAAAACCATACTCACTCACTCTGGAGTGCTACTAGTTGATATCAGAAAGGTATGGCGTACCTAGGTTGCTATGCCTACGTGTGACGTATTAGTATTGACCTGTGTTTGTTGTGTCATCTTCCACAATGTGGGGTCTTTCAGTCCAGTGACTTTCTGATCATTTACTCTGTGAGGTACCATGCCCCTTTAGTATTGGAATTGACAGAACTGAGTATAGAGCCGTCATCAAAGTTTTCACCTTGGTGGGTCAACCACCAAAGAATATTGAAGAACATTTGCATGTTGTGTATGGGGAGGCTACCCTATCAGAGGCCACAACTAATCGTTGGATAAATGAATATCAGCGTTGGAGAGAGCGTTTGGAAGATGGCCCCTGCTCTGGTCGACCCACCACCAGCACCATAAAAGAAAGCATCGATGACGTCCTCAACATGGTTCTGAACAATACATGTTTGTTTGTTTGTTTGTTGTTTAACGCCGAAACAATACATGTATGTGCATTACACTCCATGAGTGAAATAATCCACCATGCACATC